TTCTCAACAGCAACACACTGTTGACTCGTGTTCCATTTGTGATCACTATAACCCCCAGATCCTTTTCTGCAGTATTGCTGCAAAGCCAGTTAGTCCCCATTTTTCCTTCCTAAGTGTAGTACTTTGCACTTGTCTTTATTGAATTTCCACTTAATGATTTCAGACCCGTTCTCCAATTTTATCAAGATCATTTTGAATTCTAATCCTGTCTTCCAAAGCACATGTAACCCTTCGCAACGTGGTGTCATCTGCAGATTTTATAAGCATACTGTCCACTCCATCAGCCACATAGTTAATGAAAATACTGAATAGTGCCTGATCTAGGACAGACCTTGGTGGGAACACCACTTGGTAAACTAATCTCTCAAATTGGTTTCCCGAGATGTGCTGTTAACAAATTGTATCTGGTCTAGATTACTCCAATGCTACTGAATCCCAACATACAACAATCTTATCTAAGGCACTGCATTTGCTTCCTGTAGTGTCTGAAATTAATCTTTAGAATGCCTCTTGCCTACAGGAGCCATTACAATTTGATCTCTGTTTAGTTAGCATGCCCTCTGCTTTTGTTGTTTAGCTCCAGTGCAGCATGTCAATAATCATTCCTAACTCCAGATGACACATGGCAGAGACTTGATTAACCTTCCTTAATTAGGTTGCCTCCATCACTGTTTCTGCTTAAAAGTGATCTTTAAATTTTGAGACTAAAATACTTTGTCCATTTTCTCTACCTTCTAAACATTACTTTGAGGGGGGAATATTTTGAATTACAGTATCTCCTCACTTAACGTTATAGTTATGTTCCTGAAAAATGCGACTTTATGTGAAATGTTAAGCAAATCCAATTTCCCATAAGAATTAATGTAAATGGGGGCAGGGGGAGTTAGGTTCCAGGGAAATTTTTTTTGCCAGATAAGATATTATAGACATATACAGTATAAGTTTTAAACAATTTTAAACAAACAGTTTAATATTGTACACAGCAATGAATGATTGTGAAGCTTGGTTTAGGTCAGGGGTCTCAAACACGCAGGCCGCATATTTTCTGTGGCCTGCGAGACCCGCGCAGCCCCCCCGCCCTCCCCCAGTGTTTACATAGAGCGGCTCCGGCTGGACATGCACCGGGGGCAGGGCATGCTCCCTGCCTGCCTGCCCTGCCCTGCGCCGCTCCAGGAAGAGGCTGGAGGGGGGGGGGCAGAGGGGCTGTGTGTTGCTGTTGCTTCAGGCACCGCCCCCAGCAGCTCCAATTGGCCAGGAACGGGGAACCGCGGCCAATGGGAGCTGCTGGGGGCAGTGCCTGAAGCAACAGCAACACACAGTCCCTCTGACCCCCCCCCCCCCCCCCCCC